ATTAATCACGATTAAATATTTTAATCGACTGACAGCCCTAATCTATTGTAAACGTTTGTCCTTAACATCTATCACTGTGTATATCACCATTAAAGATGTTTTTAAAAGTTTCAGAAACCCCACACAGCTCAGTAAAGACTGTGAAATGTTGACTTATTTGATCATTTTAGTAAAAAAGTAACGTTCATATTTCTCCTTTTGATTAATATAGTGATGAACGTTCAAAACAAAGCACTTTTGCAAGTTAAGTCATGATACGCATTTCTCGGTCGTAATTGGTTGTTTCCGGGAACGGCCGAATGTTGTGTCACGGTAAATGTTGCGACAGACTTGGACAGTCACAGAAGAAAATGCAGTAGAACAGACTATTTCTTTCTTAGCGAAAGTAATATAATATTTTTTAAATCAATGAAATCCTGCTTAAATCAATATATTGTGTCAAATATTGATTTAAACAGTAAGTTGTCATGTAATAAGCGGGTTCACACATTATCCCATAGTCTGCATGTTATTACTTACAAATGTATCTTATTGTTGAATTCCAAAGTATTAACAAAACACACGCTCAAACATACTTGCAAGTAGTATGCAGTGTATCATTTTGTACACACTGTTGAGTCACTGACCTGCGTACCAGCACCTGGAACTGCCGGTCTCCATCTTCTCCACCCATGACTCGTTCCATGAGTGGGCGAAGTCCACCAGCAGCACCAGCTGGATCAGGATGAAGCAAAAAGCCCCCCCCAGAGCCCACCACAAACCACGCTGCAACCACAGACACACAGCTCATTCAGTAACTCCCTTGGTATTACAACAACTCTGTATATTGGAAGTCATACTAAATGTAGAATAGGAAGTTCTTACTGTAGGTGAAAGGCCCATCTGGAATATAAAAGGCGCCAACTGTAACTGCCACCAGGGGCAGCAAACTTAAAGAACCAGAATCTGAGAAAAAACAACAGCTGATCATAGAGTAGGATGTACATACACATACATTTAGAGTTTGAAAGCATTTCTAAACAGTGATCCTTAAGGTCAAAGCTAATTTCCCCAGAGTTTCTTCTGATTCAAACACTAACACACTGCAAGGTTTAATATGGGACAAACAATCAGATCTGCTCAGATGTCATAACTGTTCACATGACTGTTTATTAGACAAGCGTATCCCATACAGGGACAAGAACAGGCGACATCCACAAGAAAGACCTTTCAGCCTTATGACCAGCTGCAACGTCTGTGTGTGTGTGTGTGTGTGTGTGTGTGTGTGTGTGTGTGTGTGTGTGTGTGTGTGTGTGTGTTTATGTGTGTGCGTGCGTGTGGTGTGTGTGTGTGTGTGTGTGTGTGTGTGTGTGTTTATGTGTGTGCGTGCGTGTGTGTGTGTGTGTGTGTGTGTGTGTGAATATGGAAACTCCTGGAGACACGCCTCTGTCTCTCTTTATCTCTCTGTCTATCTATTTCTATCTTGTTGTGATACAAATATTCAATTGTCCTTTTGAGACGCCTAGAATAAGGCAATCCTTTGAAGAATCTATGTAAAAATAGCGATAAACACAATTAATAAAAAAAATAAAAATAATTAAGGACGTTTTAAATAAGCAACTCACAGTTTCAAGGTATTGAAATGAAGTTCTTAATAAGGTGGGACATGGGAAAACAAACAAAGATTAAGTGCAGATAATTAAATAAGAACTTGGCAGTGTTGTTTGTTTGTGTTTGCAAAAAAAGCTCAAGGAAATACCTGGAAGCTTTTTGGGTTAGGGTTATCTTTTTCATATATGCCCACATTATCCTTTTTGTTACAGGAATTGTCTGTGTTGCAATTTTGTTACATGGTTTATCTTGTAACATCTCCAGTGAGAATATGGAGGTTGAGTTGTTTTTTTTAAAGCGTGCTCAGGTACATGAAGGGGAGTCAGAAACAGTGTTTGTGATAGATTGCATGAGCTGCTGCTGTTACTGCGGGGCTTACCCGTTGTGGATGGCAGCACGGGGGTCTCTGCTGTTCTTGATGTTAATCATCAGGATGGAAAACCCCAGGAACCACATGCTCATGCCGAAGCAGATGCGGTACACTGCCTTGTAGCCCACGAACATCTCACAGTTGACATCGGCCTGCATGCCAGGGATAGAGGAGCCGGCCCCGTCTTCACAGAAGCCAGGGATCTACAGCACACACAGGAAGGGTTCAAAAGAGCAGGAGCTGAAGTCCATTTCATGTTCGGAAACACCGGGCCAGTTACCGAGTAACCCTAACCCTAAGTATACGATTTAAAAGAACGTCTGTGCCTTGTGATCTTGTTCAGTGACACTTTTAGTAGCCAACTCATCGGTTTTTGTTACGTTTAAACCGTAGGACTTTTAAGAGTTATTATTGATAGTTTTGGCGCGATTTAGACACGGTCTGCACAATGTTGTTGGTGAAAATAACTGCCAGAGAACAAATCAGATGCTTCGCTGTCCATTCTTACACATCTGCCACATCATCTATCTACAACAGAGAGTCATCTCTTAAGTAATAACAAGTAGGCAGCTCCAGCTGAATTAAACCTTTGTATCCAGCGTCATGAGATGATTAAACATCTGTGTAATGTCAGTGAACTTCATCACACAAAGACAATCATCGCACGTTATGATTGTAATTGAAACCTCTGGAACAAGGACTCGGAACAGAATGAGAACACAGGAGAGCTGGAACTGTTCTGTTCGACACAGCAATAGAGCATTACCGTGAATAAACGTGTTATATATCTATACATTGACTGTATCTCCACAGTTAAAGGGCCCATGTCATGGCCATTTCCACTGATCATAATTACATTGTTGAGGTATACTAAAATAGATTTATACTGTGCAATTTTCCAAACTCACATTGGTTTCGCATACAGCATCTCTGTCAAGCATGTGTATTCAGCAGTATTCACTTTCTCCACTAAACGACTCGTTGGAGCTCTTGCCCCCCCCTCCCTGTGAGCCTAGTGTGCTCCGATTGGTCAGCTCGGCCACTCGTTCTGATTAGTCAACCACCAGAGAGGCTGCGCCCATGTCAGTGCTTTCCCCGGCTGCTCTCAGCGTAACATCAGTCTTATCATGGCGTCGGTACAGCGGTATATTTTATATACATATATATTTTTAACTGTTGTTATAGAAGAGTGTGACGGCCTCAGGGCCTTTGTCTTACGATGGGGTGGAGCTGAAGAGGCTAATCAGCACGATCACGGACACCTCCGGACACGACGGCCCCAGTCTCTCTCCAAAGCGGCTGCAGGAAGACTAACTCTGCGATCCTCTCAACCACCTGTCTCTGCATTTACCACAATAAATGTGCCGTGGTTTTGTAAACTCGTGTATGTCTCCTTGTCTTTGTGGCCTACGAGCTACTCTCATAACAAAGAGTAAGTTATTTTTACCTGTTATAAACTACTACTGTTTGATGAGAAATCAAATCATGGTTTGCTATATATGAATTCAGGGAAGAAAGGATAGGCCTACTAAGTATTTCCATTAAACTTTATTTTTAGAAATGTACAAAATGAACATAAATATACATATATACACGGTATATCATCCATTCCTCCTCCTCGCATCTTGCCTGCGCACAGTCGGTGCGGTGCCTTTTAGCACGAGGCCTCAGTAGTAGTAGAATCCCTTCCCCGTCATGGATTGTCCGCCAGGATCTGGCTGGACGAAATCAAATGCAAATCACAAAATATTAGAGAAACTTAGTTGTTTTAGATTCGTTAGTAGTAGTTGTGTAATGAACAGCTTGCCTGCTAATATGCTAACCTAGCTTTGTTTACCTTGGTAGCTAACACGATATGAACGTTAGCTTGGAGGAAAGGCAACTATAATGCAGTGTAATAAAACTACTATGAACAAAAGCTAGTGGTTCATATTAGGCTAGCAATAACGTGTTTATAATTGCAATCGTATACGGGTATTCTGCTACGTTCGGTCATACAATGTAACTTGCATGAATACATTGTTTTGCGCTAGCATACAGCTAGCCTCGTTAGCTACATGCAGTATATGTACTGTCACAATGTACGGTAAATCACAGTACAGTATACTGTATGAGTATTCCGTGTGTGTGACTGCAGACATTCTCCTGCCATGACAAACATGTAAGGCCATCTGCTGACATTGTAGTTGATATATTTAAACGCTAGCAACGTAGCATCACAAAAATGTTTTTCTGACCAAAACTAGCTCTAGCTCCGTGTGTTAGATCGCTACGCCAGCTATAATGTAATTACGTTTCGCGACTGACCGGCAAATCACCCGGAGTATACTGTCAATAGGTATTTTGTGTGTGAATGCAGACATTCTCCTGCTATGAGATACATGTATGCAAGGCCATCTGCTGATATTAGAGTTGATATATGGAAACTCTAGCAACTTAGTTAGCACAGTTAGCACTGTGTCAATGGCTTTGCAGTCCAACACAGTTTACACATTTAAACAGTCTTGTTTGATAAATACACAAATAACAATGCAAACTTACAGGTTGTATACCCAGATCTTCCCCTGCTCCAAACGGTCCAAACAAGCTGTGCATATCCGGCCTCAAACTGGGCAATGTTTTTGGAAGCTTTCGTCTGTGAAATGCCGGTTCTTCGAACCTCTGGAGGAGGAACACGCCGCTGCTGGTGTGGCCATAGCTCTTCGGGATTGGTCCATTTCGTTCCGGGTACCGCATGACATCAGGCGGTACCCGGAACTAAATGGAAGACTCAAATGGGCAGTGACGTATCTCCAACGAGGCGTTTTGGGGAGGTATTTTCTGTGTTAGAGTTTTACTCGCTACAGGGTGTACTTTGAGGGTTTTGACTCTGCACACCGTTTACATGCATAAAAACCTTCATAACACACAAGGGGACGGGTAATAACCGGAAAAGCATGACATGGGAGCTTTAACTCATACCCTTTTCAGCTGCTGATCGACCCCCGGGGACAGCATGATGCAGGCCACGATGGTCCCCAGCAGCAGGATGAAGGCGTAGATGATCCGGGTCACCGTGGAGTTCCTGGTGCTGGGACAGCAGCTGCACAGCAGACAGGTGGCGCTGCTGCACAGGCACGGCAGCTGGGGACACACACAATCACTTCATCATCTGCATGTTAAAGCAGGAGCACCAAACACAGGAGACACATTTAGGTGAAAACAAATCTGCAGAAACATATAAATGCAGATGCTTTCACTCCCTTTTTACTCCAAGCGCTTTCATTACTCACACCTCAGTCAATCAATCAATCAATCAATGTTTATTTATATAGCCCAATATCACAAATGTTACATTTGCCTCAGTGGACTTCACAGTTTGTACAGAATATCAGTATGACAATACGACACCCTCTGTCCTTAGACCCTCACATCGTACAAGGAAACACTTCCAGAGAAACCCCACAGCTTAAAGGGGAACATGGGAGAAACCTCAGGGAGAGCAACAGAGGAGGGATCCCTCTCCCAGGACGGACACACGTGCAATAGATGCCGTGTGTAAATCGAAGAGATAATACATTTCACAGTATAGGTAGACCAAATGTTTGGAATGTATGTGTCTATAATAAGAAGATGAATCCACGAGGATGTCAACAATCCTGTGGGAGCCATCAGGGAAGTAGTATGATGAGAGTCAGGCAGGACCACAGAGACAGGTTCAGCCATGACTCAGGATCCAGGGCTCGCGATCCAGGACTCAGGATGCAGGACTCAGGATGTAGGACTCAGGATCCAGGACTCAGGATACAGGATCCAGGACTCAGGACCACAGCAACAGGCACAGCCACGACTCAGGATCCCGGCGTAGATAGACACCAAAAAGAAATTTAGGGGAAGCTGGGTTATTCGGAACATGAGAGTAACGGGCCGTCTCCACGGCAGCGTTAAAAAAATCTTGGAGGTGGGCGTATCTGAAGCTTGGGGATTTTTTTGCGATCAACCAATCACATGAATCTCCCGCCCGACATACGAAGCCAAAAAGCCCGAAGTAAACTGGATATAAACTCCCCAAACAGGCGAAAACCTACCACTGTCTCTGCCACCTCCCTCCATGCCTGGCTCCTCTGGTTTATATCCCGGTAGGTCTGGTCATAAAGCACCGGGTGATTGATTCGCTACCGCTAATTTCTCCTCCATTTTTTGGAATATGAGGAAATGATCTGCGGTATGTCTCTCCCAGCATACACGCCGTTTGATTGGCTAGAGCTTGAACTGTCAGATTTGCGTACACGGGATTTGATTGGCTGACGCTTCCTCCTCAGCTTCAAAAGTTGAACATTGTTCAACTTTGGATCTTGAAAATCCTGAGAATCTCCGCTCGCCTGCCACAATGCATTTCGGCGAAAGCGAAAAAAAGTGACGTCACCCCATTCAAAGTGAATGGGCAGAAGCGTTTCAAGATTTTTTAACGCTGCCGTGGAGACGGCCCGTAAGGTACAGACAGAGAGAAGGAAGAAGTAAGGTTTCCCCGACCGTCTCTAAGCCATTTACCTCTCTCACTGAATTCACATGAACTGGTACTAAGTCTTTACAGCCTTCTACTTTAACTGATACTTCAAAGCTCTGTCTATCACCTAAACACAACTGGTGTCATCTCCTTTTCTAAAATGCTAATAGCCGCGTTCACACCGCAATACTTTTCTTCCCACTTTAGTTCCGATATAGTTCCGAAAATGTCGCGTTCACACCAAAAAGAGCCGGAACTAAAATTAGTTAATTCAGAACCTTTTTACCCCCCTTTCAGTCCCTGCCAGAGAGCAGGTACTTTGGTGGGAGAGAAAAGGTTGCTATGTCTGATTGGCTGGGCGGAATGCAAACCACGCCCGTAAAAACTCCCAAAAAAGTTTGTGAAGCCGCCATTTATTATCCTTGCATTAGCATTATTAGCATTAGCATTAGCCCAGCGCACAAACGCAGAGAGACTAACTTATGGCAACACAAAAGCAAAACATGGGAGCGGTGGTAGAGTTCTGGCGATTTACTCGGAAGGCCCTAACTCCGGGGACTTCCGGCCGGGGACTTGGGTGGCAGTTTACACCGTGAAGTTGTTTGCGGCCTGCCAGTAAACCCCAAAGCAGAAGAAGAAGAAGAAGTGACGTCAGCGGCTTCATCTTGCCTAATCCTTCCCCAGGGACTTCATTCCGTTGTGAACGCGATCTGAACTTAGTTCATGAGAACTAAAGAGTTCTCATGAACTAAGTTCTGATGAACCTTTGTGGGAAAAGTACTGCGGTGTGATCCTTGAATGCGCCTATTGCTATTAATACTAACAATTGTAGCGTTTTCTAGTTGTGAACACAGTTTTGGTGGCGTCCATTCTTGGCAATGTAAAATATTTTACAAAAAAAAACTGTCATTGTCCTGGAAAAAATGTGAGTAGATTCAGAGCATGACAAACGTTCCCATGTATTTCTCTTTATTAGCAGGAAGCTGAGGATAATGGATATGTTCTGCTTGTTAGGATGGTGCATGGGACTCAACATGAGACACTGCTGAACTATCATGTGAAGGTCATCTGCACGGCAGTCCCCTCTGAATACCCTGGACTAACGGCTTCAATTATCTGCTATTTAGCCTTTTCCCTTTTCAACCATTGAACATGTTCTACCAACAGGACATGTTTAGTTTGCAGAGCTTCTTTAATCTTGGATTACAACGCAGTTTTAGCAGAATATTAAGAAGCTAATAGGGCACAGAAAAGATAATCTGTATTTGGAAGAAGAACGGTTAAGACTTCCATGCATGTCCACTGAAGTGAGCATCAGTATTTATGTTCTTGATTGTTTTACTGCCATTAAATACAGAAACATTGAAATATTGCTTCTACAATTTTAATTGCAGTTTAAGATGACAGTAACATGCTATAGAAATATTTAACCGTTATAGTTAATAACTAAGACAACAGATTTGTTGCGGAACAATCAGTGTTTTCTATGGTCATGTGGATCACAATAATACAACAAAATAAGAAAAAAGCTGTGTATGTATGTTCTAGTATAAAAACGTTGTATACAGTATTCATATTAATATCCAGAAATGTGTGTTTGGATGAAAAATATCTACGCACAGGGCAGTTGAGAACATAAGCTAATGTTTGATTAACTGTAATAAAGAAAGGAATATCATTTTAAGAAATCTAACTTTTTACAAAAAATAAACTCAGTGTCCATGGCAACGCTCTGCAAGTGTATCTGTGTGTTCAATCAGTCACATCACAGTAACCTGCTTTATTATCTCATCCTTGATGGTTCCTAATTTCAAACAAATCAAGTAAAGAGTCCAAAACCAACAGTGTCAGTTCATCATGCAGTACTGGTTCTACTGAAGATGTTAATCTTTAAAAACTCCACCATAATAATGTTTCATTTTCAAAAAATAAATAATTTGTTGTTGTTGT